CAATTTTACAAAAGGAAAGTACAATAGCTGTTGTCCAAATAACCAAAAAGTATAGAAGGAAAGAATCAGGATGTATGGTGATTGTTTATCTCACATAGAGCGTTTGGAACAACTCACACGAAAGAACCTGGCTGGTAACACCTTAATTCAAGTGAGAAAGCTATCTCGAGAAACACCTCCGATAGCGATACTTTTACGACATTTGCTGAATCAATTTTTTCAGTTTCCGCTCGTAAGAGAAAAAGTTGATTGTCTGTCAGCTGGTCATCACCTATGGGAGGTTTAAATCAATTGACCAGAGGTGGTCACCTTTAAGAGGTTCCATTTATAGCGATTTGACTTGGAAATTTGTGCTATTTTGAAAAAGTGGCTGCTAATGAGAGGTGGTCGCAAACGAGAGGTGGTCGCAGAGGGAGGGTCGACTGTATACGTAATTTTTATGTATTTTTTAATTTCAGACAGAGAGAGTAATTTTCGAAAATACAGCCGGTCAACGATTGATTCTCTTGGTACTCCATACGATTATGGGAGCGTGATGCATTATGGGGCATTTGCATTCAGCAGAAACAACCAACCAACAATAGTGGTTAAACAAACGGGGGTATGTAAAAAGCAAGGTTTTTAAAGTTCGTCAAACTGAGTAGTAAATGGAAGATCACTCGAAGTCAGTGCAGAGGTAAAGGGACATTTCCACCCCTAAACGCGACGTCAACTACAGAATCTTTCTTAGCTTGACTAACCAGAGTTTGATATGAAGAAAAATATTCATTTAATTAAATCTTTGATTATAAGGTTTCCCTATTATCAACTTTGTTACTGGAGCTTGCCCCGATTTCCGTGGTGTCTAACATGCCAACGCCACAATCACGACTAGTAGGTAAATTTTTTCTCCCTTCTCTGCCTCTCTTGCTGGAGCCGAGAGGCAAAATTGTCACCACATAGAAGTTTTGGTAGAGTCACCGCCACTTGGCGACTTCGACTCTCAATCATGCAAAATTAATCGATTGCAGCTCACTTTTATTGTATACTTTCATCTCCTAGCAAAAAATTGGGCAACGAAATGGCTTAAGCCCTGTTGACGCAGAGCAAGCGAATCTTCTTTATCGATGTGGCCTACGAAAAGGTGAAACATTTGATAACGATATGAAATATGAGACAGGGAAAAATCTTATATCATAAATCTCTCATCATTATATGGACGATGAAATGGATATGTAATATTCTTTAGGAGTAAGACTTTTTCTCTCTTCTTTTGCTTCTTTATATTTTGCTTGTTCCTATTTATTTGTTGTTGTTGTTGTTTTTTTTTTTTGAAAGTCTTAAAACGCTGTAAAGTAGTATATCTATGTCAAAATAGGCGGTTAAGTTTTTTTTTTCCACAAGATTTTTCCATTCTACCATATACATACATAAAACAGCAGGATGTAAAGGTCTTGGGAAGGGCTTTGAATCGCTTAATTGTCCCAAGTTATATCTGAGTGGTTCACGTATATCATGAGGTTTTAAGAGTACCTTCAACATGGCGGCGCGTCTTCGAAGGGATAAAGGTTTTGATCTCAGACAAAATACCACGTTATTGCCATTTAAACCTCATCGCAATATTTTTTTTAACATTCTACTGAAACTTTTCATATCTATTTCTGTATCTGTAGAAACCACAACTTTGCCGCCAACAACTACTCAACCGCCAAAGACTACTCAACCACCAACAGGTAAACTTTAAAAACTGCCTCGATAAAAATTGTTCATCTCCCTATAACCTGGAAACTATTGCGTGATTCAACTGATAGATCTTAACGAGAACAAGAATAAGTGTCTTGAGAGAACTGAGGAGAATGTGCTGTCTTTTTGATGAAACATGCAAATAGTGAGACATTCTCGACTCATCGAATAATGATGAAAATTTGCAAACCTCTTCTTGTACTCTCCCTGTTATGGTCAGCTGGGGACGTAAAATAAGTCACACGTTCCAGACCGTTTCAGATTTTGCCGATATATTGGGAGATCGCCAGAAGTTTGTCTTGGTGGTTTGCAGACCCCAAGTTATTTGTGACTCGGGGGTGCTGGTCAAGTAATTTGACGACTAGCAGGAAACTAAAGCAATCACCGACACCGTATAAATAGGAGCGTCCGCCCTCTTCAGTGATCGCCAGTTATTGCAGAAATCTGGGACGGATTTTCCAGACTGTCGCCGACTATCCCAGACAGTCGAGAATGTGTTTGATTTCGATCGAGTTTTCATTTGTCGGAAAACTCTGAGACGGTTGGGAAACAATGAAATCCCCGATCATCTATGATTTTAAGGGTAGGGCAGGGAATTTCCCAGGAGGGGAAGGGGAGTTGCTTTGGCCTTTCCTGTCTAAATTGGGGAGCATATACAAAAGGGTTGCCTTTCTTTCTGTGTGAGCTACAATAAGCCAAGTATTCCTCGCAAACTGACGCACAGCGCATGATACTTCTTGGAAATGTAGCTGATTTAAAAATACTTTGTTTTTTGTTTTGTATTGTTTTTTTTTTTAATAAGAGAACCCTGCCTCTTTTATGGGAAGGACATAATTGGAACTACTTTTATTATCTACCCACAGCATTAAAAAAACAACTCTTGATTAGATGTAAGCACCTAATAACTGATTTTTTTTTCTTCATCGTAGTGAGCTGCACAGACAACCTTTCCGCGAACCTCTGTAACATTCTGAAAAGTGCGTTTACTTGTGTACCCAGTTTCGTTTCCTCATACTGCGAGAAGACCTGTAACAAGCGATGCTAAAAGCTGTTAGAACTTAACGTGTCTCATTTCCAGAAATAAGAAATCAAAGAAAATATTTCCTCTTTTTCTTAAATTCTTTTTTTTTCCACTCCTCTTGAAGTATTCTAACATGATGGTTTTCAGGAAGAAGACTAGTTGATATTGGACAAGTATAGAAAGTCAACAGCAAATTCTTCTAAGCATTTTGCGCTCATGGTTGTAGCGTTTTTAAGAAGGAATTGATATAAAATGTTTCTTTATTGATTATACAATAAAGTAAGGGCTTATCGGAAGGTTTGTGGGCTTCCTTTGATAAAAAAAAAATGCTTAATTTTTTTTTAACAAAAATAAAATTTAAGGGCAAAAATGCACCTGAATATCCTGGGTGCTCTTGGATCATACGTGAGACATGATCCTAAAACTCTAATTCTTATAACTCCCCTTCTTCAGCGCGCTCCTTTTGTGCAAAAACCCCTTCAATATTTTCCTTGAAAGGGGATTCTTTGTTCCACTCACGTAACTTTCGTGTCTTAAGATCTCAGGCGCAAGAATCATGAGAACAGCGCATTTGAATAACCACAAGCTGTTGCATGAGTTCATGTTGTATGTTATTGAAACTGGTTCAATAAAAGCGGCGCCCTAAAAATGGTTTGTCTTTAATAAAAGATCGACAGAACAGATATATTCAAAACTTCTATTCCTGACTTTCACCCACGTGACACTATCCTTGACAACGGTTGCTACCCGCCATCTTTGTGCCCCTTAAGCGTAAACAATCACAGAGAAGCGTGAAGTATGGTTCGTACAGTGAAGTTGTTGGATGTGGTTTTTAAAGCGGCGGAAAACATAAAGTAAGTTTCCATTCCATCCCCAAAATCGTTACAAACCAAGGACAAGAGCACGAAGAACGCACAAGAAATAAAAAGAAAACGCTGGATTGCGGCCATCAGTCGAGACGACACAAAAACAAAGAGAGTCCTCGACAGCGAGCGAGTCTGCGGTCGTCACTTTGTTTCCGGAAAAGCTGCAAAATATGGGGACGCTTTTAACTTCGACTGGGTACCAACTCTTAACCTTGGAAAGAAACAATCAAAGACGCCTAAAGAGAGTGATGCCGAAGCAGCAAAAGCTAGAGACGAAAGGGTTAAAGAACGGAGGAAACACGAATTAGAGCGACAAGAAATCGAAGCCGCTAAGAAAAGAAAAGAGTTGAATCAAAGTGGACTCCCTATCCTTGATATTGCTTCAACTGCCAGCTCATTTAGCTTATATACCAATCTTAACGAGCCTTCTTGTAGTACAAGCTGTGATGGTGACGAAGAAACTGACGAGATCATTCAGGTAGACAAATTAACTTCGACTGATGACTTTGAGATACTATGGGAGGAACAGAAAACGCTAAAACAAAGACAGAAAAATTCAATTATATGCTTACAAGCTTTGTACATCGAGTCCGAGACAAATATTATTTTAATTGTCCTGAGAAAGCTCATTTTTACACTAGTCTACCATCCTATGAAGTCTTTATGATAGTTTTCGAGCATGTAGCTCCACATTTGTCACGACGACCTGGTTCTACAATATTAAATAGATTTCAATAATTTTTTATGGTTCTGATGAAACTCCGTTTGAACGTTGCATTCCAAGATTTAGCGTACTGATTTGTAGTGTCCCTTTCAAGTGTGTCAAGATATTCTCGTCATGGATAATTGCTATGGATCTGAGGCTCTCTGTTTTATTCATTGGCCTGACAGAGAACAGTTTTGGAAAACTATGCCGATATGTTTCCGATACACATTTAATCGAAAGGTGATTGTGATCATCGATTGCTTTGAAGTGTTCATCGACAGACCAACAAATCTGCTGGCTAGAGCCCAACTACCTCCACTCTGCACTTTCTCTAACATAAAAGGCTACTTGTTGACTCCAAAAAGACGTCAAACATGTAAACATTAATTTTATAAATGGGCAGAATTAAAATCTGCTCAAATATAACTTATATGATTTGTGGGAATAGACATTATTTACGACTTTAAGATCAACTAGAGAACTATTAAGCAAACCGACATGACAAGCTCGTTTTTATCATCAGTCATTTTTGATATGTTTATTTGTTTTCCGGAATGCTTTTGAATGACGTATCACTTCAACACTGAAACGTGAGGCGAATAAGTAGTTTTAAATAAATGCATTTTTGTTGCAATTAAAAGAGATCAGTATTGACTCAATACGTGACAAGCCGATATAAATTGATGTTGAATGCTCGGATGACTATAAAGTTCTGAAATTGTGTTTGCTGCATTTCGTTTACGAAAAGATCTCGTTTAGCAGTAGTCAGAGCTCAAGTCAACTGAGTCAGATTTATGTCTTCAGGAGATGAGGTGCATTAGCGTCCTTTTATTGATCAACACTGGCTTTGCCGCTGTACATAATCCTGACGGTAAGCTTAATTGCTTTATGAGTTTGAGTTTGTTCAAGTTATGAAACTGTTTATCGGTGCCTTTGACTATTTTTCCTTTTGGGTTTACCGTAGATTACCTTCAAAATCGGTGAGATTAAGCTTTAAATGAAAATTTTCCATTCGAATGATGGATAACCCGGCAAAGTTTGTATCACATAGTAATATGCATTCGTGATTATTGCCAATTGCCTGACGGCAAGACTCAACATTGAAAAAAGCTTGTTTTTTCATAACTTTAGATAATAATCGTCAATCTTAGAACCTACAAACATTTCATCATGGGCCACATTACAAAGATTGCAAGAAGAATCAAATTTATTTGATGAATCATTGTTTTCATAGATAGTTGCTCAGGTTCTATCATTATCAATATTACTGATGCTTTTTTACGGATTTCCAACACTTCATGCGTGGCATAGAATATTCAGACAATCCTATAAACTGTTTCTTGATCTTACTAGTAAAAAGCTCAATGCATTTTTGAGCTTAAAGTAAGATTTCCAAAGGTAGAAGATCGAATAACTTGATTCTGCTTCTTCGCACTGGCATTAAAAGGATGTAAGAATTAATGATTATTGTGAGAAAAACAGGATAAGAAAAAATACTCCTATATTGCCTCGTGAACTTTCCGGATAAGTCCCAGTTTCGGCTGATTCTTTCAATGTTATATGATTTGAAGTTTCGTAGAATTGATTCAGAATATTTAAGCACGCTAAAGGCTAAGATAATTACTTACACCTCTAGCAAGAGCACGATCTCCATTCATCATGCAAAAGCTGGCTTTTAAATGCGATAAATGGGTGCCCTTAAGGCACAGTACTTGTCTTCTTTTTAGAGTGCAAAGTAGCAACAGCCACTCAAACCTGATGTTTCTTTCCTTTTCACAAAAAGAAATGTTTTCCACACGTGTCTTTTATTTGATTGGTGTCTAGTCCACAAACCATATCGCAATTGACGCATCGATTTCAGAAATAATTTAAACTGATTTGCGGTAAACCTTTCAACGAGTTTTGGATTCCGTTCGTTTGCAACATGTTTTGTTCATCAAACGCAATAACAAGGTTAAAGTTCAGCCTTGTTGTATCTCTTCATATAAAGCAATGATTTAAAGATAAATAGACTAAGAAAGAACATAAAAGAGATACCAGTTCTTGAGTTTGAGTTAACATCAGCACCTCGAAATAAAATGAGCAGTTGGAAAAGTTATCACACATGCATGAGATAAGACACTGAAACTAAAGGATTTAAAAGAAAATCGATTTGTCTTGAAATCACGATAGTTTCTAGATGTCTTTGCTGTATTAATATCGGTTTACTATTATAATAATAATTATTATTATTATTATCATTACTGTAAATAAGATTGTTATTGTTAACATTATTTTTATTATTATGATTTATCATCATTATTTTGAATAGATTTTTGGGTCGAATTGGCTCTCTAAAAGTGCTTAAATTAAATTAGGTCCTTGTCCACCAGGGAAGCTCAATTCGGTATGATTAGCCAGCTAATAGAAATTCAAGTTTTGTTTTCCTCTGCTTTTAAGCCTAAAGTTGCAGAATGGTGACTGGAATTTTCATTTTTTTCTTAAATATTTGCCTTTGTTTAGCCATTTGCATCAAGCTCTTAACAAACTGCCGTCACTGTTTCTTTCAACCTTGACCCGAAGAACTTCTGTTTTTTTTATTCCACTTAAATCAGCCTACCATTCAAACCCAGATGAATATATCTATACTATTGTATTAGGGTAAGGGTACTGCCGTCACTTCTGTCATAAGTGCTACTCGAGGTTGGATATTGGGGCAATCATTCGACAAAAAGTGGTTCATATCGATACATAATAGATCTGATACTCAACTATTTTTTCTCCTGTTGTGTTAAATAAAAATAGCTATCCTGAGCTCATCCTTCCTAAATGTACCTTTCGTGACAAAATAATTACATAAAGTAAAGCGTTCTGGGCTCCTAAGATACAAAATACACTGTGAGTCCCCACTCTCGTTTTTGTTGCTGTATTGATGTCATCGAGTCATCGTTTTCAGGGCGCTGTCCACGTTCATCGGTCAAAGCACTTAACAATTACAAAGCTTCAAATTCAACATTGCAAGATTGGCTTGAAACTCATCGCCTCTCAGTTCAGATTTCCAGTGCTGAGCAATGGATACATAATTTCTACACAGGAACAATGCTCTCCTCCATTCATAGCCCCGGCTTTCCAAACATAGCCTTACCTTAAGCTGAGTGGTGTTATCGAGTGCCTTGTGAGTACAGTGTTCGTACTCATTTAAAGCTAGATGACATTCTCAAAAAAATTAGTAAAGAAAAAGAAACAGCAACAATAGAGCTCCTTCAAGTAATAATATTCAAGAGCCTTAAATTAGTTCCGCACAACTGATATAAAATGTAAAACACTCTGTTACTGTGGTATTCAGAAGTCTGTGGACAGCTTAAATACTATATTGGAATATCTTTCTTATATTACCGATTTTCCTTCTTCTCGGTTTTCTGAGTACGATAGCAAGTGTGATGTTTATCGATCCAGCGAAGCAGAATTTCACAATAAACTTTCTTTGTCACTTTGTTTCCCAAGGAGGAACCCGTCGCGATTTTCCATTGTCAGAGTAAAAACTTCACCATATATATTGTAAATAACAATAGCCATCAATTTTAGATATTTTGCTATTTCCTCTCTTTCTCTGAATCTTTTGTCTTAGAAGGTTGTCATTTCTCATACTGTAATTAACAGTAACCATTAATTTTAGATATTTTGCTATTTCCTTTCTTTTCTGAGTCCTTCGTCTAAGACGTTTGCCATTTCATCGTTTTCACAGAACATCAGATCGAGGTTGGCCGTCATGCAGACGTCTCACTAAACATACTTCTGCTCGTAATACTATCTATCAAAAACTGCTTCGAAAACGTCATATCCCTGGGCCAACCCCACGCCTGGACTTGGCGGTGATTCCTTGTATTTTTTCCTCAATTTTAACAGTAAAGAGGGAAGATTGATAAGCAAAAACTTCAGTGAGAAGAATATAACACAACTTTGTAAAATACAGTTTGGCACTAACTGATTCATGCTTGCCTGTCCTCAGAAAATTTTGGCTTGAGGAACTCCAGTCTTTTTGAAGGAGACATGCTACTTCCGGAGGAGCAGCGGGAAAGAGCAGAAGAAGGATTAGATATTGATGGGACTCGCCACAAAAGAGCCTCGTCGAGATCCAAATTATGGCCTAAGGGAGTCGTCATCTATCAGATCTCTCCAAGCCTCAGTTAGTTCATGTCACATTGTAAACCTATCACTAAGTCTAGCTCATAGTATGTCCTGAAACTATAGTCTAATTGAATATTTCACAATAACTCAAAAAAATATATGAGATCTTTAAGTTTATGGACTCCACGTAAATTCATCATGTGAAAAAAAAACCATTGCAAAAGCCTTGTCTTTATCAATGTGTTTCTCAAAAATTAGTTTTAATAACAATGGATTATAGCTGGATGGGACTCCTGTGCGTTTTAAGATGCGATATAAAAAAGCTGGGGAAACATTGTCATTAGACTAGATTTATCCCTTTTTTTTTTTGAAGGTCGCTATTCCCGAGCGATGTCTGCCATCAGAGCTGGGATGGCCGACTGGACCTCAAAAACCTGTATTCAGTTTAAGAGAAGAACAAGCCCTAGTCAGAAAGCTTACGTTTTCTTCAGATATGGCAGAGGGTAAGCGTTATTAAATGATAAATTTCTGTTCCTCTATGTAAGTGTACAGTTTCCTTTTTGTTTGCTGGTTTGTTTTTGTTTATTTTTCGCTTCAGGTGGTTTTGCTGTAGTCATAAGTGTTAGTTATTTCTTTCCGATATAATTTTCTTAGCTCATTGTGTTGTGTCGAAAACGTGAAAAAGCTTTTCCACGCTCCTTGTTATGTCACGCTTATTCCCTTGATTTAACGATCCTACCACAACGCTTCGGTTAACTCCCTCACACAGCTCCCGGCTTATTCCCAAAGGACACACATTAAACGTCCCGTTGTAAGCACGTGCAACAGTGCCATATATGGAGCGATAAAATACGTGCCACATACATGTATGTTTGATTATGTGTAGATAAATGAAATCGCTTATAAATGTCAATCAAATCAAGAATAATTAACGTATCGTTCATTTTTCAACAATTAAAGTGTTCCCTGTAAGGATGAATTAGCCAACATGTTCCTTTCCAATCCCCCACCCTTCCCACCCACCCTGGAATAATTTATCTTGTTTATCAGTGAAACAATTACTTCAAAATGGTTTTGGTTTCTTTTTGTTTGTATTCACCCTGTTGTTGTTGTGTTTGAATGTTTGGTTGGTCGTTGAGGGAAAATCTAAAACGTCGGCCAGGCTGTGTTAAACACGCAGAAGCTTGGTCAAACAGATAGGCCGCAGTTTAAGATTATCCCATAATGATTATCCCTAATTTTCGGTCATCAATTTAAGTAGATAACGATATATTTTACAACGTGCAGCTGTTGAAAAAAGTTTTCATCAAAACCGTTTATATTACAGATGTGCATCATATGTGGGAAGAATTGGTAGGCGCCAAGATATTTTTCTCGCACCAGGATGCTGGCACAAGGGCATCTGTTCTCATGAAATAGGTGACTCTTATTCTATGAACTGTTATCAAATAGCAGCATCAAATTTACAAAGATTTAATTCCAAGAGAAAGAAATGTAGGGTGTCTTCCGGCTGTTAACAATTTCGCTAATATCATTTGACAAACTGATGGTGTGAGAAACGAAGAGAAGCATTTACTAAAAAAACAAAATTCTTCGGCTTTTTTTGCATCGATCGCGGCGAGGTCCACGCGTGATGACTAAGAACCAAATATTCCGCGTCTGGCGTGACCTTACTCAGTCAATAAGCAGTTGATCACATGCTTCTTATTATATTTTGCATCTAGCGGAGTCTCATCGTGGCTCTACGTACGCCACCCCGTGCAGCTCCCTTACGGGGATTTTTTTGTTTTTTTATTATTTTTTTTTAATAAAAGCTCACACGCGGCGGTATAGGTCCCTGATTAAAAATATTTCCTTAGTTCTATGGGTAAATTTTGTCCAAGCCGATGGCGAACTGTCGAAAACGTAATTTCACACACAGTGGTACGTTATATGAGACTTACAACCAGAAATTACAAGAGAGAACTAGAAAGAAATGTAAGTATATTTGAAATATCGCATCACTCGACAATCATACAAAACAGCAAATAGGGTTGACTGTTCTTGAATATTGCAAATTGCTTACTAAAATGTGCAATTTTAATATTATTCAATTATCTTTAATTTGTATGCATTCCATTCTTTTTATTTCCATCCAAGGTCACCACATTTCGCTCCATTCCACTCCACTTCACTCCACTCAATTCTACTTCCATTCCACTCCATTTTTCTCAATTCCATTTCATTCTACTCCATTTTACTTCATTCTACTTTCGTTTCAGCCTATTTCAATCCATTATATGCCGTTTCACTCTATTCCATTCCATTCTACTCAGTTCCACTCCGTAGCGCTTCATTCCATATCACTCGATTCCACTCTGTTTCATTCCATTCCGCTCCATTTTCTCAATTCCATTTCATTCCACTCCATTGTACTCCATTTTATTCCATCCCACTTTCATTTCAGCCGATTTTAATCCGTTATATGCCGTTTCAATCTATTCCACTCCATTCCATTCCACTCCTTTCCATACCACTCCAATCCACTCCATTCCACCACATGTCACTTCAATCCACTCCATTCCATTATATTCCAATCCAGTCCATTGCATTCTATTCTATTCCACTCCATTCCGCCCCATTTTACCCCTTTCCATCCTATGATGAGAGTTACGCTCTAAATGTAAATGTCTAAATTTTTCCAGGTCACGCTATCGGATTTTACCATGAGCAGTCCCGTCCTGACAGAGATAAGTTCATCAGGATTAATCGTGCTAATATAGTTTCAGGTAACTATTGGTAAACTCCTAATGCTAGAGGCTGGAGTCCAAACTCGGTAAATAAAGATGTAATGAGCTTACTGAATTAAAAACAACTTTGGTTTTAGGTGACGATTTCGAAAAGAAGAAAAAAAAGCACGTTCGTGATTACAAAGAGTCAATGAATAAAACTTGACTTAGAAAAACAAGTGCCAGCGAAAGTTTCCAAGTCAACTTAATGGCCAACTTCAAGGTCTGTGGACGTGATTGGCTACATCATCAAAAAGGATTGTCGTTTGAAATATTACTTTTACAAAAACTATGAAAATTGTGCCTCGCTTTAACTGCAGTTCTTTTCTAACGGGCTGTATATTTTATTCGATTACAGGGATGGAATCTAATTTTTATAAATACAGCAGAGGGAGAATCGATTCACTCGGCACACCATACGACTATGGAAGTCTAATGCATTATAGGAGTACAGCTTTCAGTAGGAATGGAAAACCTACAATAGTTGCTAAAAAATCAGGGGTACGTTACTCAGGATAGAAAAATAGAAGCGTGGTTATTTCTTACAACCGTTTCTTGCTTTCCTTACCTGACATTCAATTAATGAATTAATGAGCACTCCAGCCACATTCGGCTTCAGTAAATGCGCCGTGTAACTGCAAAAACTCCTTCTTAAAATAGAACTTATCACAGGTTATAGTCTCAAGGGAACCTGTTCATATTCTCTCATTGTATATATCACATAGGTTACCAGCAGTTTTTGAGAAATGAATATGAAAGCGATCTTCGCTTGACAGATTAGTGACAGCATGACCATTTTTGGATATGCACATATACCACACGGGGAACGTTCTCTGAATCACGTGACCAGCACATGAGCGAGGCCTTATCCATACTAAGCCCGATAGATTGGCATACGAAAACACACCCAGCTCCACAGATCTGCAAACTTGTGGGACCATGAGAATTATGTTTCCCTTTTTTAACAGAAACTTTCTTCATTTTTTCCAGGTTACTATTGGCCAACGAAAAGGATTAAGTTCCATTGATGCAAAACAGGCGAACCTTTTGTACAAAGCAGAGTGTGCAAGGAGGCCCAAGCCCACACCGAAGCCCACGCCCAAGCCCACTTCAAAGTCAACGCCTAAGGCTACACCCAAACCTACGCCAAAGACCACACCCAAGCCCACACTCTACGCCACATCAAAGCCCACGACCAAGCCCACGCCCAAGGCCACGCCCAAGGCTACGCCCAAGGCCACGCCCAAGGTCACGCCCAACGTTACATCCAAGCCTACCCCGAAGACCACACTCAAGCCCACACCCAAGGCCAAACCTAAGCCCAAAGGTGAAAAAGAAGCCTGTTAAGTAATAACTCGGCCTTTTTAGATATCTTTTCGAAAGAGTTTTGAGGGAAAACGTTGTTACTGTTGTTGTTACATTGGTTGAACATAAATCTCATTGGTAATAGGCCTAAAGTTTATTTGGTTCAAACATCTTTTCTCCTTTTCCACCTCTCAGCAACTTGCAAAGACAGGTCACGCAAATGTCGTCGTCGGTCTTGGATACGCCGCTGCAGAAGGAGGAGAAGAATAAAAAACAAATGCAAGAAAAGCTGCAAAGTCTGTTGAGCAAGGAGAAGAAGAAATAGTTCATAAAACCCTAAGGCACAAGCGAGATAAGAACCATATTTAGCGGTTGACTTTAAGGGTTAATTGCACGATAAGAAGTTTAATTAAGTCCTAAAATAAACTCTGTAATGAAGAAAAAATACCGAAATAGTTAACGTAGCTTTAAGGAAAGCTTGGTTCGCACCTGCAACACAATCGTATCAAGACGACACCAAGAAAAAAATTACTTCTTTGTAATTGTTGCAATGTTTATCATGTCATATTCCTACTGTGCTGTTAGGTCTTCATCTCCACATAAACAGCGTGATGATATATCGATCTTTTAGGACGTTCTGCTTCATGAAACCAAATTAATGTGAATTCTGCTTGCGTCGCTAAGTCCGAGAATGTTATTATGTTGCCACAATGTAATCATACTTCAGACTTATTCTTGAGCGAACGAAGGAATGAATGCGTTCCGTAAATGTAAAAACCTTAAAAGTAAGCCTACGTGTTAGTGGCTTAAAGGCAAAAGATATTTCACGCAGTTCGGTGAAAGCATGTTTGTGATTTATAAAGGGAAACCTTGCTTGAAATGTTGCCTTTCGGAGGAATAATGCCCTAGTTTCTCCATAGTTTAATGAAAACATCCCCAGGGAGCTCAAGAAGACACCTTTGAAGCATCGTAACTCGGATCTCATCACTATTCTCCATGCCGTGCATGGCTACAGACAAAGATCTGTCGTGAACTCGTACATGATGGTATCCTATCTTAAAACAATCTATAAAGGACAGGAGTTTCTATTGCATTCTCGAATTCTGACGACGTTCTAGTGGACGAAAGATTTTAGCTAAACGAAAAAAAATTAGGTTACAAGCTGAAAGGCAAGTAAAGCTGAAGGTAAAAACTGTAACCTGACAAATAGATACTACTAAAGAAGATCAATAGCTCTAAAATACTGGTCGTTTGTCGTTTATTTCCCAGAAAAACCTCGCCAACCTGAAAGCCTTCCTATTTATTGCTATTTAAACTTTCTAACGACGTTTAGAAAGTGATATCAACGAACATTTTTCTCAAAAAAAGTTCATTCTTGCCCTCAACACACCACTTCAGTATTTTTTTTTTTCTACGTAAAGAAAAGTCACTCTGAAAGTTAGTTATAATCTAATTCCGTTAAACTTCCTTCCGTCCTTGGTTGAGAGGGGGCTGGGAGAATTCTCAAATGTTCTCAAGACGCAGTTAAGCGTTTCCTGAACTTGCGAGAATTCTTCTAACACCACTCGTGTGCAGATGACACTATATAGAAACGTAAAAGCCCTTCTACTACTGAAATATATATTTTTGTGGGTCAAAATAAGTATCGATATCCCTGGAAAGCAGACACGAAATCAAAGGGACGTTGATTAGTACGAGCAAAATACTTTGAAAGGGTCATCGAAACACCATTAGATCCCGAGTTTATGGGAAACTTTCTTTATTTTTCCTTTCCAAATGAAACATTTTTGGTATTTTACTTTTATTTTTAAAATTGCTTTGGTTAAGTATTCCTTTTCATAAACAACGAAGAAATTATTCGCATTCGCTCTCGTTGGCCAACTTTCATTTAGCAAGTTCTATTTACTAATCAAAATTATCCAAGTAATACATTATTAGGTCGAATTTTCTGAGTTAGGGCCGCGAAAGAAGTAGGAATGCTCATATGGCGGACTAAAATAAAATGAACTCAAATAAAAGTTGGGATGTTTTTGCTAAACCTCTATGTGAATACTCGATGATTGACATGAAAATGCCAGAAATAGCAAGTTGGAAAATGTCCTCAAAAAATACTTATACTTAATAGATCACGTGAAATCTGAATGAGACCAATTTTCAGTAATCCCTCGAGTACCCTCACGTGATACGTACTTTAAAAAACAAAGATGTTTAAGTGACAGGTGTTGCACCAAAGAATCTTCTGACCGATATTCATAGCACATTGCGGGCTCGCTAATATTGATCAGCGTCTTTTTATTCGCTAGAGACGTAGGTCGAGAAGCATTGGCTACAAATCCTTATACTGATGTGCTTTTGACATAAACTTGACAGACGTCAAAACAATGAGAACGCTGACTAATACCTCTCTTTATATCATTGTCTTAGACTATTTAGTGCAACCAGGAGCCGCTACTTGGAGCATTCAACTCTCATACTGAGACAATGAACGGAACGGTTCACAGAACGGTTTATTTTCAGAATATTTTTTCGCGGGAAATAGGCCACTCGGGCTCACAGGTAGTACGATCTATGAAACGCGAAGAAAAAATGGCGGCCTTATGCGGGGACGTCTTCATATCAAAACAGACTTTCTTTTGCTGTATTCCAGTATTCCAATCCTTCCTTTCCTTAACCTTACCTTACATATCCCACTCTTAGTAAAAGGAAGTCCACTGACCTATACGTTAGACAAATTCCGGGCTCGGAAGTGTATTTTTTGAACTGTCTTCCCTTGCCAAATTTGTATGGGTCTGCATGAAATATATTCATATGCGTTATTGACCAAGCGTGAGGTCAAGATGGCTGGATATTGGCCAGGTTCTTTTGTTGCGTTTTTATGGAGCGAGACGAATAAGCCTGGTCAAGAGAGAAGATGTATTCCACGGTCGATCTCAGTTTTTTATTTCATGTTTTGTCTTTATCTCTTCTCCCCGCCGTGAGGGGAGAAGATGAATGGATAAATAAATAAATGAAAAACGAAAGCTCAAAAGTTTCCACTTCTGGTAATATGGTACATGAACTGATTACCGAGATGGAGTGAAGCCATAGAGGGCTAGAAATGCAATATCCCAGGTTCAAAAATATATATCCGAGCCTGCAAACTGTCCGACCTTATAGTCAGCGGACTCCCTTATCCAGTTTTGTGATTTGGTTTATGACTTGTTAACTCCATCACTGATGACACAAGTATGAAGTTATCGTCTTTTTCCAAAATCTATTTTACTTAAGAGTCTGAGCCAGCTGTCATATAAACATCTCAGTGTGAATGTCCGCTATAACAACAATGCACTGGTGGATAAACGCTTACATTGGAGACTTATTACATTTAGTGTTACTGCTTCCGTTGAAGCTAAGTGTTACCGCTTCCGAGAAAAGCTGCGAAATATTTTTTGGTTAGGTTGACGCCCCCGTGATTAGTTCTCTTTAGGCAGAAAATTATAGAAAGCGTTTCAGTTCAAGATAAGACCCCGTGTGATCAAGATCGTTTTTGAATAGAAGACAAGTTAGACTGTAATCCTCGATAAAGTAATCAAGACCCGCGAACGTTGGTAAGCAATAACTTGTTTTGTGATTATGTTATCTAGCTCGTAGTCGTTACACAAAGTAAAATTTATCACTCGTTTTTTACCTTTCCTTTGATTCCTTTAATTGCCACGTGCTCGTTTCCAAAATCGTTTCTATATAATAACGCCCCAAGGAATAGGAAAGGAAATAAAGAAAGAAAACATCCTATTTGGTTTTGTGTTTATCGCATTCGCGTGTATCAACCCGGGAATCGAATTTACAGTTCTAGCTTGAAGGAATCATTTACATTTAGGACCAAATGTTATTACATTTAGGCCTTCAACATTGGTGTAGTTTTTTTGTGAAAATACATTTTCGTTTTCGAGAAATGATTTTTTTAGTTCGACCGCTCAAATATGCAAATTTTCACCGTGAGTATAACCCGAGTTGTGTGACCCGATGTAACGAATTTACTTGACCTCCGGTATTTCTGTCAACATAATCCTTTGTTTCATCATCTAAACTTAATCCTCTGTCATTATTGAAGCTGGCAAAGACATGTTTATTTTTTGGTGAATATTTTTGTCCGACATACTTTCCTATGTCGAAAAGTAGCATCAAGACAAAGACAGGTTTAACAATGACAGATAAGAAAGAATCAATTGAGCTTCTAGCTTTTAAAAGAAAAAGGATGGTTATAAAGTTACTGTAAAAATTTCCTTGTGTATTTGTGTTGTTCTATCTTGAGACAAACTCAAAGTCCGGAAAAATTTACTTGGTAGCGACTATAAGATATATATGGTGTGCCTACTTGTCGCCACCGTTTACTAGCATAAATCACTACAATTTGTAACAAAATCTAACATAACACTCTAATCTTGTTTATTTATGATTTTATTAGCTGTTTCGATGATCACGTTATGCTCTACCATATTCTAGCCAGATCTGAGTTCCAGTTTATCCATCGTCTTCGTACAGTTGCATGACAAGCGTGACACATAAATTCAGAGATGAATCAACCTCAGAAACACCAAGAGATGGCTTTTTTCCTCTTTGCACGATATCTGGAAAAACCTTCCAGGAATAGACCTTTTTACAGTTCCCGGCGCCATATTGGATTAGTAACCGCGCACACACGATAACGAGGCTGGGGTTGACCCGGCGGTTCTTTCAAACAGCTGATATGCTGACATTTCACGTTCTAATGCACTTTTCAATGCGATTTCTCCCTTCAAAATGGTTCTTTAATACAACAATATGGAAATTTTGTCATTAGATGACATCCAGAAACTCGAAGCAAAAGATCTCAGGGAGATTTCAAAATCTTATTCAAAATCGACGGGCGGAATTAGAGCCGACTTAGTGTCGAAAGTTCATGCTTTGCTGATGTGACACGTCCTTCCATCAAGTAGTGGAGAAAACCGAGAACTTCTTACCGATGTCTAGGACCTAGAACAAACTAGAGCGACTTCAAATACGAAGCAACTATGGTAAGGATTTCAGCCCTTGGATGGTCGAGCAATCTCCGTAATTTACCTGAGATTAATTTCATTCAGCTTACGATTACCTTGTTGTTTCACGAGAATATCGCCACATCGTGTTAAGAGGAACGCATCACAGGAAGTACCACAGAATACCAGAAAGCGAGGCAAAGGCTGTAGCCCTCTAGGTAGAGGAGATTTGTTATTGCTGCTGTTGTTGATGTGGTACTTGTTGTTGTACCATATTCTTCAGTTAAAGTTGTTCCCATTTTATTTACCAAGATGTATTTTAGTTTGCCATTTGTACATTGTATCTTATGGGAAACTATACAGTAGAGCCTGTACAGCCACTTGATTATAACCTTCTGTTTATCAACCCATGAGGAAAACTGTAACTAACAGATGTCATAATATTTTGAAACCCATCTGGCCCAGGACAACTTATCCTTGTGATACATTGAAAACCATTTGAGTTCGCAACTCATGGTAATTTATTAGGTGGCAAGACAGCATTGAAAGAATCAGACCAAAATATTAGACAATTTAAAAACTCCCAAAAGTGACTGATTCATGTAACTTCTCCCTATAATATCCTAACACTATCCAGTAAATAGATAATGATAATACTGAAACTTATCAGGCAGAAGTTATCTTGATCTTACATCAAATTCTCATAACCTATTTACAAGTAAATGTGTAACAACTAGAAAGGGGAATTAACGATCAGATCTTGGGTATTTAAGGGTTAAAGGAAGAGAGCAGAAATGCTTCCTCTAAGCTACTGATCTCAGCAATGCTAGTCCTTCACACACATTTAAGTTTCTGTCAGTGATAAACATTTAGTGAATTGATATTCCCATTCTTAGCACTTAGAGGCCTTCTGACACAAAGGTTTGCATTACTAGTTCTTATTGCCTTGTGTTAATCAATGTTATGGTAATATAATTTTGAGGTACTTAAAAGATTGAGAAATATATCCAAATCAAGAGATTTATTTTATACTGTTACAGTTACCATAAGATTTGTTTGAAAGAGAATCTTTCAGACCATTGAATTGTATGAGAAATTATTTTTTGCGAGACTTCTATCAAACTTCTTATTATGAGGACAATTTTGTGAATAATAAAATTTAGTGTCAGTTCATCTTTGTGTTGAGAACTCTTTTAGTTGGTGAAACTCACTTTTTCTTTTTTCCAATTTGAAGCATCAAATTGATTGATACTTAAAGCACACAAATATTTTGTGAGAGTTCCATGTGACATCTATAATGGATTACTATGCTATCATGTAAAACAAAAACAACAACTACTGAAAACTGCTTTTGTCACAATTGCTACCAAATTTGTGTCAGTTTTCTGGGTCTGCCATAATAAGTGAAAACTCTGAAGATACAGTGTCTTGGTTATTTTATTAAAAGCAATTACTTTCCAAGAGTTTCTCTGCTAGGAGTGTTTTAGGCAAGCCATGTAGTAAACAGGTGAGCAGTACTGAACTTATTGTCTTACTGCCGCAATGAAAAAAAACTCTATCGAACTTAAAACAATTCAGGTACCTAATTGAAAGATTGTACTAATTTTGCGACAATAGTCACCCTCATCCATAATTCACAGAGAATAAGATAAGTATAGAACGATAAATACTTAGCAAAAATACATGCCTCCGTGCGTAAACTTGAAGAAGTGAAAGCTCGTAGGCAAACCATTGGAGCCATAAAATGTATTTGAACAACCAAAAGTGGCACACTACTCTCCTTTCTTTTTGGGAGAAAAATTAGCTTTATCGAGATTTCGGCTAGGACCATCCATTTTCCTTAAAAACCGAACAATTTCACTGCCTTTTACCGCGGTTGCATTTCCAATATGGCGCTGGGAACTGTAAAAAGGTCTATTACTGCAGTCAGAAAAATGAAGTGTCCAGATCCATTTCCTTTGCCGGTGGAAGTGTCAAAGAATGTTTATTAAAGTTAATTTGATTGACAAGTTACACACTGATTAAGCTAATTGATTTGTTGGATAAGTGTCTCATCTTACATGCTAACATGGTGGAACTTGGGGGTTTGGTTATCGAGAAGACTGAAGTTGTATAAGTCGTTCCCTTACGTAGTTGTAAAAGTTACTTGCGGAATTGCAAGTTTTCATATCCAGAAAATGAAGCAGATCTTGTTTTGTCGCGTGCCGGCATCTTCGAGACGCCAAAAGATATCGATGATTTTACAATTTGCCCCAATCATAGATCAAATCTCGGTGTTGGGTGGAGTCGTGGTTCCAATAGGAGATGTAGAGAGCCTAAAAAAGTACATATTCTAATATTTTCAATTCAAATAAACAAAAATCTTTATACAGGGTAAATATTCCTTTGTGTCGGTATCAATTATTGCGTGACTAGCTTATGATATAAATGAGGGAGGGGAAAACACAACGCAAAACCTAGGCTCCTGGCAAAAAGTAATACCCAGGCGTAAAATAATAATCGAAATAGCTAATAAAATCATAAATAAACAAGGTAAGAGTGTTTTGTAAGATTTTTTTACAAATTGTAGTGATTTATGTTAGTAAACGATGGCGACACTAGTAGCTTTGCCATGTATATTTCATAGTCGCTGGCATATAAATTTTGCCGGACTTTGAGTTCGTCTCAAGATAGAACAACACAAATACACATGGAAATTCATCAAATAACTTTATAACCATCCTTTTGTCTTTTAAAAGCTAGAAGCTCAGTAGATTCTGTCATATCAGTCATCGTCAAAACTGTCTTTGTCTTAATGCTACTTTTCGACGTAGAAAAAGTATGTCGGACAAAAACATTCACCAAAAAATAAATATGTCTTTGCCAGCTTCAATAATGACAGAGGATTAAGTTTAGATGATAAAACAAAGGATTATGCTGACAGGGTTATACTCACGGTGAAAATTTGCATATTTGAGTGGTCGAACTAAAAAAATCATTTCTCGAAAACTAAAATACATTTTTACATATAAATATATATAAAAACTACACCACAATTATTAGAACATATTGGGCTACAAAATATGAAAGTAGGAGTGAAAACGAATTTTGGGCGACTTGCCAAAATATTTCAAATTTGTGCGATGGATCGATGTTGACATCCTCTCTGAAGCATTTGTAATTTTTTATGGCGGTATTCTAGATATTTTAGTGCTGAACTTTGGAATTTTGTCTCAAAATATCCATCACTGCCGATGATATTCCCTTAGATATATGCCCACCTATATTGTACCTCCGGGAAGTTCATGCACGATCATAGTTATTCAAAACCTAAGGTACGAAAAACGAAACAAAAACAATTGTACCACTCTATGACGCAACAAAATGGCAAAAATTTGACTATACGACACCGCGTTATGCTCTAAAATTTTGAGTTTAAGTTGAAAAAATGTCCAAATCCCCTTTCTTGGCAGTCACATCCATTTGTTTGGCCGTATATCTTTATGTTAATAAAAATGGGTCGGCACGGTCCCCAGAGATTTCATAACAACCTCAAAATTAAAAAGAGTCACTCTTTAGTAACTCTTTCATTTCATTTACTTTCCACCATTTTAGCTAGATTTACATAGCATTACTTCCGCGATTTCACGTCGGAACGTAATCGGCGGAATAATATGAATCAAGATATTTTAGTCACCTTTATTCAGTTCCTCTCTGATTTGCTGGTTTGGTTACAATAGGTCTAAGCAATAAATATTACGCGGTTTGCTTGCATTTAATCATATTTTATTTCAATGGAGTAATGACTAACCATTTTGCTGCGAGGACAATCCTAAATGTGATATCAGATTTCAGCAGCACTCAAGCCTGGTTTTCACTAGCGACAAACACAAGGACAGCAACTCACTTTTCCCGTGAAAAAGGCCTCGACACAATCATAAGTACACTAGTATCTGAATTTTTCCTTCTTGCTGTGCTTGGGCTTGTTGATGTTCGTTTTCGTTTAGCATATTTAACTTATGGGCGCGTTTGTGCTTACGCTTAAGCTTGCATTGCGAGTGAAAACCAAGCTTTATTCTACCCCTTGTTACGGGTGACGACCCTCTTAAACACCTAAACCAGTGTCACCATCAACTTGAGTGGGAAACAAAATATCTTCACAATAGGATATAATAAGATAACAGAAGCGGTACGATCAACAAGCATGGCTGGATAATAATAATGATAAAACATATAATTCACCTTGCAGCGAATTCAAATTTTTTGGAATTTCAGAATTACAGGAAACAAACTTGCGCTACAAGCTTTCCTCGTGTTCTCCCGACATCCCTCATCGGTTAATAACTGTTTAAAACCTGTGAAAATGTGTTCTATTGCGTAGATAGAGGGACTGTGAAAAGACTATAAATGTCACAACTCAGATCACTTACAACAAATGAGCGAAATATTCACCGCCTGGCCTTATATCTTCTCTATGAATACTTTTGATGTAAGTAACCTCAAAGGTACTGCATGGTATGTTGCATGTACGTTACCATCGTTAGCTATGTTATGATTCTTCTCCTTTATAAACGTCATTTTTGCTAGATTAGATTTTAACAAATGTAAAAAGTGAAGAAAAACTGGTACACTCGGTGACTAATTGGGAGACTAGACCAATATGCATTGAAGGAATATCATGGAAAAAAAGTATATTTCTGCATAAGTGTTAACTCAGTCAAAACACGACTGTAAAACAAACGCATTTAGCCGTCCGTTTGAAATCTTTTTTCAATAAAAAGAATGCATTATATTAGTTTTGAATGACAGAAACTACAGAAGGAGTGGAATTATATATTTCTACTTTCAGTTCCCTATCAATATAAAGGAGATATCGTATGCTTTCGAGAAGAAATGGGTTCCATATCGTTCTTGCCTGCCGCAAGTACAGAAAATTCATACTGATGAGGAAAAGTGTGGTTTAATTCTCCTTTCTTCAGATAGAAAGAAATATGTTTGTGGTAAGGACTGATCAGTTAAAATACAGGGTATTCCCACAAGGAACCTCATGTAAATCTTTCGATAACACAATGATTTCTTTTTGGTGTCTCCGTTGCCTCGTTGATGGTAAAATACAGCTGCATCTTTTAATCTTATCTAAACAAGTCTTCAGTAGCCATTATTCCAAACAAACAAAGCAACATTATTCAGCTTAGTCTAAATATCGTGACGCAATTCTCTCGATATGGCCACCCCGGTTATGTAAAGGGATACGTCACTCGGTAGGCACATGAGTTGTGTGGGTCGATTCTTCAGGAATGTTTTAAGTTCCGCGGTAAGCCAAAAAAATTATCAATTCATTTAAGTATGTCAGTCGAGTTGTAGTACTTCCTTGTTATCATTAACAAGGCGGTAGTTTTTGAGGATTCATCTGAATCTACCAAAGTGGATCAGAAAACCAAATCGATAGCAGAATTGACATGCTAGTTAATAAAAATAATGACATGGGATCACAGTTTAATAAGTGCTCATCTCAGTTTAATTTGATTAAAAGAAAAACAACTGAAAAAAAGCCGTGCTATAAGTAGTCACAGGAGGTGGTCAGATATTTCAGGCTCCTGCAATAGCGCAACTCTTGAAGTTACCACAGTAACGTCGTAAAGAGTGTAATCTGATTTCCTTCTTCTGCGACCGCAAAAGGAAGAGGCTTAACTTGCACACGGAAGATATCACAATATATTAAATTGTTTGGTGTACGATAAGTACTGGACATTTCACGAAGTGTACAGGAATAGGAACCGAATGATCACCTCATTTCCACACTATTATTGTAATTACATATTGTATTGTCGACGTGATAAACTATAAGAAGCAGCGTGACCACGAGAAGCATCAGTTTATAGCAGAAGTTTTCACCGGCAGGCAAACTTAAGCCGACTGAGAAGAAGGCAAAGAAGCATGAAGTGCCTGTGCTTCTTCCTGTTGGTGATCACAGTCTTTGTTGCATCGGAAAATCCTGATGGTAAGGTTGTTTATAATTTCTTGTAATAATGCCATGGTAGATCATAGCTTTCGAAGCTAAGATACGGACTTTTGAATTGTTTTCCCTTTTTTGAACTTTTCAGTAAGTGCCTCTTTTTCCGATTGTTGATTTTCTAGCTATCACAGTTTTTAAGCAATAAAAATTGTTACGCCGGAAGAAACCCATGGATTTACTTTACCGCGCTAAAAAGAATTCTAAAAGTTCGATCGTTACAGAATAAATCAACACCTTATAGGTTTAAATAATACAAAGTACACCTAATTTTGAGGGGAATAGCTTGAATTTTAATTTAAATTCGCTTCACACCGAATCCTTTTTTTTTCGCTTTAGTTATAAATGTAGCTGTCAGTTACAAGCCAATAGTTTTCCACTAAAACGTACCCATCAAAAAAGTTTGTAACTAATTATTAGTTGTGTCAAAGAGAATGGAAGTATATAAGGTTTCATAAACTTCTCTCGCTTATGTTTCATTTTGAATTGGGAAATTAATTGACTGCCTTACCGATCAGCAGAGTAATACTTACTGTTTGATTGGTTTCATTGGAGGATTGACTATACAACTGATTGGTTGATTGCATGAATGATAACTCTTTTATTGAATGAACAAGTAATCGACTAATCGATTGTATTCAATTTTATACCATAGAGAATTTAGGTGTGGATAATAAGGAATTGTTCGAGGGAGATATGATTCTCCCTCCCCATGTCCTCTATAAAGCAGAGCACGGAATGGATGTTGATAGCTCCCGCAAAAGAGCATCCATCAGACGCGGACTATGGCCGAAAGGAGAAGTCCCTTTTGCCGTCTTTAATGGCCTTGGTAAGGGTGAATAAAACATGTCATTGTTAAAACTCTCTAAGGACTGTAATCTTAATTCGTGGCTTTCCAATAAACCAAAGATAAATATCGCATCTCCTGTACTGCGCTAGCTATAATGTCACACAATCGGCTTGACAGCGGGGTTTTGCATTACACTTTCAAAGATTAATACGGATATATTTAAACTGTATGTTTTACTTGGACATCAGTTTGTGCAAGTTTCTTTGCAGTTCGAAGTTAAATATATACGACACATAACTGGACTGGCATCCCTTTCAGAGGGAATTTCAGCACCCCATATCGCTTCATACCACAAAAACCGGGAAAAGCTCTAGGTGGATGGGACCCTTTTTTTCTTTTCAACTAAAAGTTCGAAGCCCCTTTTTCATTAGTTGAAAAGTCGCTGCAACAATTCGCTTCACCTGTATCACAATTCAAACGAGACAACTGATGGATAAAGATCTTCGAAAAACTATACCTTTTCACTCGGAGTGAGTCTTTGCTGCGTCATGTCCAGGATTTGAATTCTATGTGTAAACAGAGCGAAAGGAAACCGCCTAGTACAAGAGATCGATATTAACTAGTCTTCGCTTTTAAAAAAAACACAGGTAGAAGTCCGGAGCTCAGGAATGCAATTAGGGCCATAATTGCAGGAATGAATGAATGGAGAAGAAAGACATGCATCCGTTTTAAGAGGCGAACAAATGAAAGAGACTACGTAATATTTGCTTTACGCAGGTTAGAGGCTGTTAGCGTAACTTGCTCTAAAATAAATCTTAGTAATCAATAAGCTTGTGTGTTTGAACGAAAATCAAAATATATGTTAGCGAAATTAGAGATTCGAGCTATCTCAGAATGTTAGCATTTTATTCTTGTGCTCAAAAAATTGAAAGGAAAGAACTAGAATATCTCAAAACTAATGTACTGATGGATCGACGAGACGGCTTGGCTTTGAAGGTTAACCTAAAAATTTTCCTCCGTATGGAGCTACGTTGCACACACTCCGCTATTAGAGACCTTACAAGCAAGCAGATCGGCGTCAGCAATCAGTACGTCGTAAACCAGAAAATTAAGGGAAAAGAAAAATGGTTATGAGCAGACATAGTTTGATGCTACTCTGGTTTGCAGATTTAATGAATGTAACCGAAGAAGTTATTATTCATAGACCCAACGTTTCGACACTCCTCTCTAGTGCCTTCATCAGGGGCTACGTTGAAGAGAATGTTTGACCCTGATAAAGGCAGTAAAGACGTCAGGTCATTTGCAAATATAATTTCCTTTTTTGTGATCAGATTTTCCTCGGTACTGTCACGAGTTCTCGCCCGCGAAATCCCTTATGATCAACTTAATATAGAGCTACACCCTACTATGTTTTTTATCTTATTTTATTTTTTTTTATGAAAGCGCATCACACCAGGTAAATCTATGGAAATAATTAATGCATCCTTCTAATATCAACCTACTTTTCAGTGGAGGGTGTTATTCAAATGTAGGCAGAAAAGGAGGCCGTCAAATTATAAACCTTGGAAGTGGATGCCGTACTCTAGGAATTGTTGCTCATGAAATCGGTAAATAATTTGCTCTGGTGTGTCTGCTTATTTGTTTTTATTTCTTTTCCTTACTTTTTTAGTATGGTCGGTTTGTTTGCTTTTTTTTCCTTCTGCTTTTCTCCTTGTATGTTTTTGCTTATGTATTTGTGCATATTTTTTAGAGGTTTTATTTCATATAAACGTTTAGGGACGATATTTTTAAAGCCGTTGAAAAATTTTTCAACCAATTTTTTATTATCCGAACTTAGGACCATTTCAAAAAAAACTCTTGATTAAATATTAAAAGAATCAACATGTATTATCAGGTAACGGCATGATATCATAAGAGTGAACTGCAAAAAAACAAGTGTCTTATTGATTTTTCGCAGGCCATGCTATTGGATTCTATCATGAACAGTCTCGTCCCGATAGAGATCAGTTTGTTACAGTGCTGTTCCAAAATGTACAAGCAGGTGAGGCAAATTGATTTTCAATTCATTTTTAAAAACCCCAGCAAAAGTCTTTTTTCTTTAATTTTTTCCACTTTTTCTAAATTAGCTACTGAAAAATCATTCCCATGCACGCACCATGAATCTAAATTTGAGTTTCGTCATGAAATTATTGCAGTTGGTTAACTGTCGATAGCTCGTGCTTTTTCGCTTACCAAAAACTTTTTTTTTTGTTTCCTCTAAGGTCGTTTCTTATTTGTTACCCCTAATGACTCGATGCATATTATCAGTAATAAAGTATCAAAAGTTGAAACAAACTGTACCGTAATCCAGAATAGTGTCTGAAGTTCTTTTTAACGTAGCCGTGTAGTTTTTTTCGTTTTGGCTTCACCCTTGAACTCTCCCTGATTTTAGCAGATTTGATCAGATTGTAGAGTGTGTGAAAAGAAAAGCAGCAAACACCGTTTAATCCCACAATTCCGGTTATTTTGATCTCCAACACATGAAAACCCAAATCTTTCACAAATTCTAGTCTCTAAAATAGAGTTCTTGTCATTAGGATCGATAGAAATTTTTTCCTTTCGTCTACCTTTAATATTACAGCAACTGACTTTCCCGACCAAAAATATTTCACCGCAATTTATTGCAGGGACAAGGCATAATTTTAACAAGTACCCAAGGTCAGTCATTGATTCTCTCGGCACCCCTTATGATTACCGGAGCGTGATGCATTACGACGACAAAGCGTTCAGCAAGAACCCCAGACTTCCAACCATAGTAACGAAAGACAGGAGGGTATGTTACTATTCCTCATAATCCAGTTCATTCTCTTCCTGTTTGCCGATATTTTAACTACTTCAATTCCAACAGTTTCCATATCCTCATCTTGTGTGAATTCATGGCAAGCAAAAATAAGCTTATAGGGCCCGTCGAGTCACTGGGAGCTCCTGGACAACAACTTGTTTTCTTCTTAGCACCAAAAGGTTTGAATAGACATTTACAGAGTATTTGCAGATCGAGGAGGGGGGGGAAGGAGGGTTGAAGGGAGGGAGGCATAGTGCGACATCTAATACCAAAGGACAGCTGTAAAGAAGATAGAATCTATTCATGTATCATATTTTCCAGTATCAAAATGTTATTGGCCAGAGGATTGGTTTAAGTCCAATTGATGCACGGCAAGCGAACCTTTTGTACCGAAGTGAATGTGCAAAAAGAGGAGGTGGAGGAGGTTTGTAACGCATCATACCATAGCATAACGGTCTTATTTTTGGTAATATAATTTCAATTTTGTTTTTTCGCCATCTCTTTTTGTTACATTCGAAGCTTCTATTTAAAACATGTCCCTTTTTAAAAATTTAAAAACGCGCAGATGATGATTTCGAGTTGCTTAGTCCGTATTAAAAGTGACCCAAAACGCTAGTCTTTGATTTCATTGTTCAAAAAGCAATGAAAAATGAGACGTTTAAAAACCTATTTTTACAAGTATTCTTGTCCTGTCCTTTTTGCTCCATTTTCAACATTTTCAGTCTACATTCATTGTGTGAACCAAGATGTTACAGTGTGCTGCGTCCTCATATTTCGCGCGTTAATTGGCGAAAAAAATTAACTTGAGTGAGTGAATGTTGTGAGTTGAGATATTTTTTAAATAGTTTTAACGAGCGGCAGCAACCATGAATAACTTAAGTCTTTGTCTTCATTTCCTACATAGCGGTTTGTCGAGACAGATGGAGAAGTTGCCAACGGCGGCCAATACAACACTGCAGGAATTCTATAGTTAGGAGATACTGCAGGAAGCGATGCAACCAATGTAGTTAGCCGAGAACGAGATTGCATTCCGTCCTAAGCTCTTGTGTATCAAGCGAGGTTATTAAAATTCTTTTACCTGTATGCTTTTGTCGTTGTTGTATTTTATTCCAAAGAGACTCAATTCGGTTTCCTCATTCATTAATAATCTTTTGTTTGTTGGATCTATACGACCACAATTTTTTTATAATTTAATTACGAGAAGTTAGCATCCATATCGCATTAGCCTATTGCTAAGATCAAGTACCCCCTACCCACCTCTACCAAGAGACAAATACATATCTATATATATTACAATTCTAGTGTTCTGATTGGTTTAGTCGACTCCGGTTATCAGCTCACATTCCGAGTCACGTTATATGGAAATGTATTATACCAACTGTTACGGAACTGAGAAAAGCTTCAAATACTCAAACATTCAGGATGAAATTTAATAAAAGAACTATTCCATTCGCGCTTGTTGGATAAGAGACTGGTTATAGCCCACTTAGTTATTTAACACTCAAGCTCACATTAGTCAAAATTATCCGCTCTCTCTTTTTCTTGTCGTTTATTGTGCTCTTCTCTGAGGCAAATACAATCACAAATCTATTGAATCACTCAAGCCCACATTGGAGACACAGTTACATTCAGACTGATGCTGTTTTTCCTGGGTGATGGCTGTCGTCCAATTTAATAGCAGAGTGGATTCTCACATCTCAACTTAAGGCAACCTATGTGAAGATGTACTTTTAACAAAACTAGATGCATCATATCATTTTTGAACGACAGAAACTATAGAGATAATGGAATTATACTTCTGCTTTCAGTTCATTACCGATATAGGGAAGATTTCGCACGATGACGATAAGATCTGATATTAATCTTGCCACAAAATCATAAAACTCATAACGTCGAAAAAAACGTGTGGTTTTGCTTTCATTTCGTGGAAAATAAATGTCTGTGGTCGAGATTGAGCAGTTAAAAGACAGGGTATTCCCAAAATGGCTACAAACGTGATACAAACGTGGAATACGTCACTCATGATCAGTTCCCAAATGTGATGATTGGGTCGATTCTACCGTAATGTATATATACAGTTCTGGTAAAACATTCAAAACACACATCATAAAGTTATGTATTTATGTATTTTTATTTTGTCGCAGTACTTTCTTTTCATATATTACTTAGAGTAAAACAAGGCAATTATTATAGATTTGTCGACTAAAGAATATTAAGTAGTTTACAAAAAAGAAAACGAAAACGATCGTAAAGATTACATACTAGTAAAGGAAAAATAACATTACAAGAGCATAGTACATTTAAAAAAATATCCAAAAAAAAGAGAAGTGAACATTACAATCAAAGTTTTACATGATGTGGCGTGCGCCTTTTTTATCTCTTCTTTACAACCAAAGGAAGACAAATTTAGATAAAGACAGCGCTTTCTTAATCTTGGATGCCTTGAATGGCTATATAAGGTATGGTTTCGACTACGTAGTTTGATGCGGGTTATTTGAGGTGCGGTTAAAAATATAGTATACTTTATATAGTGACGGAGATGACGTCAGTAAATTAATATGAGCCAAAACTGCTGATGCAATTAGGTTGATGCAAGTCGATCGGTCAGTGAAACTGAGTGGCGTGGAGAAGATCGTTTTATACTTCAAAGAACAGGTAATATAACGTCTTGAAATGACTCATATTTGGATATTTATTAAGACGGACGGACGGATCGCCATTGGTACAAATATAATCGATTGATAATTGTGGAAACATTGCTCATACAGCCCTTCTAATAGTAGTGAAAGGAGGAGGTGACATTTTATAAGCCCTTGCAATATTGCAACTCTTGACGTTACCAGAAGGAGCGCTTTCCCAACGATGGTGATCTGATTTCCTACTTACGCCAGCGCGGATGGAAGAGGCCCAACTTTAACGTGGAAAATATCGCAATATTTTGCATGGTTTGGTGTATGATACGCACAGAAAATTTCCCTCAGTATACGGAGTGTATAGAAACTATGATGAAGTAAGTAAGTTTCCTTATGGTAACTTAAAGGTGAACATTAGAAATATTTAAGACATCTTTAGGTGACATACGAAAGTTCTGAAATGTATTTTTAATTAAAATTTCAGAAGTCAATTAAAGTCTCCTTATGAATCATTTCATGAACACTTTAAGACCACATGAAAGCAAACCTAAATAACCATTTAATTGACTTTAAGAATCCTCGTAATTCTCGTAAACTTGTCTTTAGTCAACCAAAACTTCTACTTGTAAAAGCGTCTTAAATGTTTCTTTTATCTTTTGTTTCCGTTTAAGTACTACTTAAAGTTGCAGGTTTTGTTGTAATTCATCTTTAGTTGTACTTTCGGGTTTTCTCAAATTTCAAGTTTTGTTAACATTCATCATTAAGTGACCTTTAAGTGCCTCTAAAAGCTGCAGGTTTCACCTTCAATTGACTTTTGATCTGCTTAATCACACATACATTTATATTACGATATTTTGGGCAACCTTTAAATTGTTAGAAAAAGGGACATCACACATACAAGTAAAGAGAATGTTTGAAATTGCATTGATAAAACAGTTTGGTTCAAAACTCAATTGCTCCCCTGAGACAAAGTAAACCCATAATGAAAGCTGAGGATATCCCATTTGAGGCCCACACACAATTAAAAAAAGAGGTGTCCAAATGTTTGAATTACTAATTGTTATACTTTATTAAAATTGTTTCTCTTTCATCAATGCATAGTTCACATAATCTCAGTCATGTATATAGAATAGAATAGCTTAGAATCTTTATCACTAAAAAATATAACAAATACACAATATAACAAGCTGAAGCAACACACTGCACAAAAAGCTATTAATTCACAAATTGCACTCTCAAATCCAACCACTAAGAAACGCGATTTGAACTGATACTAACAATAAAAAATATAAGTTCAACCTATCAATCTAAAAAATCAGTATATTTTTCTTAATCAATTTAAATTTGCAATAACTCTATCAATTATTTGCCATGTTATTACATCTGTAATACTTATTAATAATAACTTACTTTAGATAATGAGACCATAAAAATTGCTAAATTACACATTCAAGAAGTCTCATGCAGGCATGTAAAAGACCTTTATTCTAGACTTGGCCAATTAATGCTTTATATATAATGATCTGAATATATTGTACATTTTCAAATTGATTAATTAGAAAAACAAATTTTTTTCTGCATTATTGCCCACTCTGGAAAATTTCAGTAGGTGGGCATCTAAGAGAAGGTTGCCCAACAACCCTGGGTAGGATTCTCTCTTTAGCTCTTGAGGTGAGCTTTTTCTTATAAGCCTTGTCAAGTTTTTTTTAAATTGTTTTCATTCTCCTACTCTCCCATTGAAGGCGATGGACGGAGTATTTTGTCACTTTTGAGGTATTTCCACCATTGTCCTCATAGCAGCTTTCCTCACTGCTCATCGCCTTCATCACAAGAGCCTCCACCGCTCTCCCCTTTTCATGCTGGTCAGCCCAGTTGACCAGGGCTGTAGTTCTTCTCAATAACTTCTGAAAAAAAACAAAATAATACAACGAGCATGAGAAGGGTATTATAAGACTTCAAATGGAAAATATGATCCAAATTACTAATTTCTCTTGATATACATGTGCACACAGTGTAAGAATGGAATTCTTAAGCATGTTATACTATAGAGTCTCCTTGTCCTTTATTTTTCATCAAATGGTCCATACAAATTATCATTTAACTCAAATCACATCTTAATATTTTTCATTCTTTTGCCTCAACTACAGATCCATATTTAAGATAATATTACACAATTGCCAAATTTACTTTACAAAGACTTTCTTGGAAGGCCCTAGATACCTACCAGAATACATAATTTATTTCACAATTGCTCTCATAAGCATAGAACAATTTTAAGAGGACACAGTCCCTTAAATGTGTCTATATGCAAAGCCATCCAATTTTGAAGTGCCAAAAAAAAACATTTAATGGGAAACATCTTCCCCCCCTATTGATCAGGCCCCGCCATTTGTGAACAGCAGGGTATATGAAAAGTAAAATGATAAAAATAGTATCCCAATAAATACCTCTCTTTGGCGACGACTCTTTCTAGTTTTTTGCCTATGAGCCTCGTAGCGGTTACTGCTCTTCAATTTCTGTGTTTCCGGACATGTTTTGAAATATCTTTGTAAAGCAGCTGTTCAAAGAAATAATTATCAAAATGCCATGAGAAGTTGATTGTAAAAAGATTCCCATATAAATAAATGACAATGTTCAAATTTATAATCATTTATGGATGGCCACATAAAAATATTTGCCAAGTTATGGCAAAAATTATGCCATTTGCAGAACTGAATAGCGACTGAAGCTTCCAGAGCTTAACTTGAGAGGGGCCACAAGAATTTGAGGAGACCACTCAACTCAAAAGTACGAGAAAACGCACTGAAGAAAAAACCGAAATGGCAGAGACGAGGGTAGAAAGCTAAACGACAGTTCTCTCTGAGGAAAACCCAGCAAGCGTCGCGAAAGAAAACAAAACAGGTATCAATGCCGAAAAAAGTCAAGCATCTCTGCCGGAAAAGCAAATCATTGTAACCTATACAGGTGAGGAACTGGTCTCTTTTAAGGACAACATGGTTTCAAAGGACACTAAAAGAAAGTATAAGTACATCCGTACACCGTTTGCAGTCTTGTTTCCAGGAAAATCACGGCAAACAAATTAATAACGATGCAATTTCAAAGCAAGAAGCACCGCCGCTTCTCGAGCACTTCTTTCTAGAAATAAGGCAGACGACAAAAGAAAACAAAGGCAAAGAATATGAAACCAGAAACATTACAAACTTACCGCAATGGTTTACTAAGGTACTTTTTGGAGCGTCAATGTCCACCAGCAGTAGACAATTTCGACCTTGAAAAATCTATAGGGATTGAGTTCGAAGAAGTTTCAACGTTAATCGTCTCAAGCAACGTTGAATAGCAGTTACGTTCCCATGTAATAATAAAAGATGTATAGATATAATTTATATATATATATATATATATATATATATATATTATAACTTTTCTAGATTCAAAGTAACTAACCTTCAT